GCCCGTCTTCATGCTGAGATTGGGTGTTACTTGCGCGTTGGGAGGGTGCGTTGGAGTTAGCATGACGGCTTGCGGCTTGTGGTTGATTGGCCCCTCCCCCCACTCCCTCATGTCTAGAAACACTGTTCAAACAAAACAACACTCTGCGGGGACAGTCGTAAAGTAGTTCTTCCCAACGCTGTAGCGCGCATTAAAAAAAAGAAGGCGTGGCAAACCAGACCGCTGGGGACGTCCCCGCGACCGCCACGGCGCTCCGCGTTCAAGGGCAGGTTCCCATGCACCCCCTCTTGGCGTCAGGCCACGCCGGCCACGCCCCGAGACCCTGGCGTTGATAGAGACTGCACTCAGGGACCACCTCCTGCGCACCCTCTCTGGGGTCGAGGAGAGTGCTGCACCTGGCACGCTCTGCGACCTGCAGCGGATCGAGACCGCGCTCGGGGACCAAAGGCGTGCACACCCTCGCTGGTGCCGAGGAACCACGGCGCCAGCCTTGCCCTGCGACCCTGGCGTGGACAGAGACCGCACTCGGGGACCATCCCTTGCGCACCCCCTCTGGTGCCTGAGAGGGCCCCAGAGGCGGCTCCGAGAGGGCCTCACAAGAGGCTCCGAGTGGGCCCCAGTTGCTCAAGATGGCCTCCATGATGGCGCAAGGTGGTCCAAGCTGGCTCAAGATGGCCTCCAGGATGCCTCCAAGTGGCCCCACGATGGCCCCAATACGGGTCCAAGTGGCCGCGGTCAGAGAGTGCGACATTGGCCCAGGACAGTTCCAGTAGAATAAGGGCCTCGAAGACCCCAACACGACCTCGAAGATCGGTCAAAACATCATGAAGGGGCCCTGGAACACACAAATAAATACACACACATAAAAGGATTCCCCATAGTTTCCCATATGTTCTGTGTTTCTGTCTTCCCCCCACTTCCCATATTTTCCCATCTTTTCCTGGGGATTGACGATTAATTGTGTCTGTGTGTTTTTTCCCCTCCTGACATCAGAAAATGGCGCAATGCGGCTTCCAACATACTCCAAGAGGCCTCAAGACCGCTCCACCAGCACGGGTCCCAGCGGCCCTGGAGCATCCCCGAGACGCCTCCGAGAGGCCTAACCCCGTCCAAACCTCAAGGAGTATCAATGTGGTTGCATTCTCGCCTTTTCGCTTCCGATGGCCTTCCGAGGTCTCAGGAAGGCTCCAAGACGGCCCCATAGCTCCCCGAAGGAGCCCCAAGAGCGCTCCAAGAGATAACCGGGAGGCGAATCCAGAGGCTCCAGGAGGGGGGATGCTGCGAGCCACCTCCCCTTGTTCGATTGGTGCCCTCCAAGAGTGCCCCCAGAGGGCATCCAAGGGCCCCCAGAGGCTCCCAAGTCGTCCAAAAGAGGGCCTCAAGAGCAGGAGAGCGCAGAATCGAATCGATAAGTCGGATCGGCGATCGACATGAATCGGATCGGCGGAAATCGGCAGCCGAGTCGGCAAAAGTCGAATCGGCGGAAATCGGCAGGCTAGTAGGCCTTCACTAAGAAATCGGAACCCAAATCGGAATCCCAAGTCGAATCGAATCGGAATCGGAAGCCATCGAAATCGAATCGAATCGAATCGGAGGTGTCGAAACGAGCCCTGCAAGAGTCCTCCAAGAGCGCCAAAGGAGGCGCCGAGAAGCCCACCCAAGAGGCCCCCAAGGCGCCCCGAGAGGCCTCCGGGAGCCCCCGCCCCCCCCCCCCGGAGACCTCGGGAGCAGCCACCGAGGGGGGCGCCCAACCTGCCTGCAGCTCACCGGGGCTCCCCGAGGCATCCACACGATGCCGGGCTCCTCCGAAGAAGTGCAGCTCCACGAGGCGTGGCTCCTGGATTAGGGGGGAAACAAACCTACCTCGCTTTTGACCACCCTCGCTTCCAAGAGATACCAAACGATGCCAAACTACGGCCTGTACTGGTCAGGCCGCTTGACGAGGAGGCGCGTGGTATGACTTGGTTTTGCCTGGAAGCGAAAGCGGGGTAGGTAATTCACGCTCTGATGGATGGTCTGGTGGGGAATCTTTTTGTTTCGGTCGCGGGCGGACACGGATTCGCAGTCGCCGAGCTGAGATGTCCGGGCCACGGGCCCGTCGAACTAGCAACGCGCAAGCCTAAAAGCACAGCGGCCGAGCCCGCGCTCAGAACCTACCGCCGGAGGGGCCGCGGGCGGTGAGCACAGCTGTCCCTCAGAATTGAGAGGTCAACAATTCGTAAAGCTGCTCGCTCTCCGTTGCTCGCGTATCTGTCCGCGTGGATACCTCGACCATCGATGCTTGCCCCCCTTCGTGTTCGATCGCACCCCCCCCAAAGGGTACGTCTTCCCTGCACCGCAGCGCTTCGCCGGTGCGGCCCCCAAGATGGACAAAGGGGTGGGGGGACGGACAAACAAGCAAGGAGCGGGGGGGGGGAAAACGAGGAGGGCAGTAGAGGCCTCCTAGATGGGGTCGGAGTAGATAGGGTCGGAGGATCACGCCGCATCGCCGATACATCGGTGATGCATCGCCGATGCATCGGCGATGCACTGCCGACGTCGGCTGGCAGGACGGGAAGGAAGAGGAGCAAGGACCCTTGGCAGGCGGACCTCGGCTGCAGGGCCTGCTGGGGCGGGCGGGCCCAACGGAGCGGGCCGCGCGGGCGGGCCCTGGCGGGCGAGTCGGGCGGCCAGGGCAGGCCATCGCGCGGGCGGGCCTCCACCGGGCGGGGCGCTGAATCGGGCATCAAATTTGCGTCGGGCCTGTCCTCCCACGGGGGGATCTCGGAGGCAATATTGAAAAAATAGCCACAGAATGCTCCGACAGAATGCCCCAAGATGGTCCCAGAATCGTGCCCGGGGGCTAGTTTTGTACTGCTTTGGGATGTTCCTCCTGCAGAGGGACGTGCCCGACTCATCTTCAAACCGAGCGGGGCGTTGAGTCTGGCATTAAATCGGCGGACCCTGACGGGGCAGGTCGGGCGGGCGGACCCTGACGGGCGGGTCCAGGCGGGCGGGCCCTCGCGGGCGGGCCGGGCGCGGCGAGAGCACAGCGCCGCGCCAGAGACTGCAGGGAGGCGTCGGGCGAGGGCGAGTCTCTCGAGTACGTTGCAGGGGGGGCCTCGAGCGAGAGCGCGAATCCTGAATAGGCAAAGCCTGCGACGGCGCCGTTGTTGTGGTTGGTGGTGGTGGTGGTGTTGTTGTGGTGGTGGTGGTGGTGTTGGTGGTGGTGTAGCCGGGGGGGCAGCAAAACACTTTTAACACATTACGCCTCCCCCTGACAAGAGAAAAGGATGCGAGCTCGGGGGGGGGCGCCTCGATGGAAGCACTGGAGACGTACCCAACCATTTCTAGCGTGTGGCGGCTATCATCTGGACAGCCCAGCACTGAAGCTCGCACTGAAAGATCTGTGACACTCGTGAACGTTCTACTGTCGGGCAACATCAACTACTCCAGATTTCGTAATAAACGGGAGGGGGTCTGGACCCTCCAAGACAAGCCATTTCAGACCTCCCCCGTGGGAGAACCCTCCAAAACATAGTCCCCAGACCCCCCAGGCCCTCCAAGATTGCCTGGAAGAGACCCCCCCGAAATGAGACCCCCCTCCCTTTATTTCGAAATCTGGAGTATTCACGAAGCGGCGATGCCTGCGCCGATGACAGCCCCCGCCGCGCTGGACCTCACACGAGACCACGAAGCGGCGATCGGCGGTCCCCCCCCGGGGGGAAGCTGCGAAATATCCCGCCCGGGCCCGCGCGCACGCCTCCGCCCCGCGGCACCTCCCGGGAGCAGCCCACGCACACGGCAGCGGCTGCGCTGCTGGCAGCCCCCCGCCCACCGCCCCCTGGCAACCGCTGCCTGGACCTCCCAATTCGCAGAAAGCATCTATACACCACCACCGTGCCAGGCCAGGGCCATCCTGGGCCCTAGGATGGTGTATACGCCCTCCTGGCCGAGCCAGGAGGGTCTACACACCATCCTACGGCCCAGGATGGCCCTGGCCTGGCATGGTGGTGGTGTATAGATGCCTTCGTCGGACACCACCTCCTGGCAACCGCTGGACCTCCCAAGAGCCCAAGAGCACGACTGGGCAGCCTCCCGAGGAGCAGCGAGGACCCGTTCGGGTCCGTGTGCGCCTCCGCCCCGCTGGACCTCGCCCCGCCGGACCTCCCGGAGACCCCGCGAAAGAGGCGACGATTGCACAGGTGGCAGCCCCCCAGTGAGCCGCAAAGTCTGGTCTGGAGGCGCGAATGACCCGACTATGCTGGATCTCCGAATAGCCCACGCACACGGGGACCGTTTCACGGTTGGCAGGTTCGAGGGAGCACAAGAAAAAAGACAGGCCGCAGGACGGGAGTAGGCAGGAGGAGGTTTCGCAGTGGCACATTCAAATCGAGGACCCAACCAAGGAAGGATTGGGGCAAAAAAGAATGGGCATCAATGGGGAATCAGCAAACATTGATCACGTTTCAAGAAAAGTAAGTCCATAAGCAAAACACATTCAGGTGATTCCAAAACGCGGACGAAACTTTACTTCTACACGTTGAGCAAAGCATGCAACGCACAAGTGAGGCACATCTAAATATGAAAAGACTAGAAGGACGTAAGTGACGACAGCTTCAACCTGGAAGAAAGCACCAAAGGACAACAACGACCGCACTTCTGGGTTCGAAAACACGAAAACTCTGCGCGATACGTCCGCACTCCCAACCTCCAGCTTACGCCACTGCAGGCAAAAGCAATGCCGCTGCGCGCGCCTCGTGCAATCTGGAGGCCTCCCAAATGGGGTCCGAGCAACTGGGTTCAGAGGATCGCGCCGCATCGCCGATGCAGCGCCGAGGCATCGGCGCGGTCGGCGTGGAGAACATCGGGCCCCCCATCGAGCCGCGTAGCCGCTGCATCGCAGATGCGGCGCGATCCTCCGAGCCCATCTGCCTCGGACTGCGCCTGGGCGGCCTGGCCGGGCGCTCCCGCGTGCAGGGCTCCGCCCCGCGAAGGGGCCGCTGCTCCGAGCCGTCGGCTCAGGCCACCGGCACGGAGGACCGCAACCTCGCCACAGGCAACGCTCTCTCCGCGCCACTGCCGAGCGCCTTCTGCGCCGCCGCCGCCGCCTTCGGGGATCTTCCGACCCGGGTCCATCCAGACCCGGGTCGGTCAGGCCCTGCAGAGTCCTGCAAGATCCTGCAAGGTCCTGCAAGATCCTGCACCCAAACCCGGGTCGATGCGGAGGAACCTGCAAGATCCTGCAAGCTCCTGCACCCAAGCCCGGGTCAGTGCAACCCTGGCCTCTGCAGGATCCTGCAGGATCGGGGCGCTCTGGCTGACCCCCGTTTGCATTGACCCCCGTCTCGAGGCTCCCGACGCCTTCGAGAGGCACTTGCACCGGTCACCCTTGCGGCCTCGGCACCTTCTGCAGCGCTTGCCTCCGCCGCCCCTGCGCATCTCGACGATCTCATCGCATGGGGGCGCCAGGGTGGCGAACCAGTCGGTAAGAGCCCTGGGAGGCAGAGACTTGCTCCGTCTTTCAGCAGGCTGCATCTTGTCGGGGTCCCCCACGCAGATGAAGGAGTTCTGTACCCAGTACTCAACGCCGACCCCGGCGGTACCGTCGCGCTTGTCGATCGAACCCGCAACGACATCGACAGCTCGAACTACGGCACGCCCAGATGTCATCCGCTTTTGAAACGCTTGCCCTGCTGGCAAGCTGAGCCAGCTCGGACTCAGAGTATGAGTAGGGTTGCCCAGCTGTGCCTTTGGACAATACCGCGCGCTGCTGTTGCGCAAGCCGCGGGGCCATAAACGCTAGAGCCCAGATTGCCATGGACGTAGCTTACCTTTCCCTTGAGCGCGGCTTTGCCTTGGTGTTGACTGCGCCTCAGCACTGGGTTTGCCTCAAGACTCAGCCTCAACTTCGATTCCCCCCGAGTCTTACGCGTAGCAGCAGGAACAGAGGCTGTGCTGATGCACCTAGTGTAAATAATTTGAATAAGCCTAGCCTGGCTTAGCATAGCAGCACAGCCTAGCTTCACCTCCGCGTTCAGCTTCAATTCTAAACTGGGCTTCAGCCTCAACATCAGCCTGCTTTCTTGGAGAATACGGCTTAAGTGCACGGACTGGCAGCGCACATCTCCACACAGGAAGATCAAGTACAGGAAAACAACATGCACACATAAAAACTGACAGAAGACCGCGCGGATTGGCGGCGACTCCGGCGCAGAGGCCGGAAGGGAAGGGGGTCCAGCGCAAATCCGAGAAATCCGAGCAAACCCCCAAAACTAATGTTTGTGTTGGCGCCTGTGCTTACTCGTTTCCAATGTTGCTGATTCGCAATGTTATTCATTTGATCAGTACGATTGCTCCTCTTTAATCGTATTACTGATACTGTCAATCGTGTTGATTGTATTGTTCTTCGTACCATTCCAAACCATCCTCTGGTGTTGGGTCCTCGTTTTGAAGAGACAGCGCCCCGCGTTCCTCCTCCTCCTCCTCCTCCTCCTCCTCCTCCTCCTCCTCCTCCTCCTCCTCCTCCTCCTCCTCTGTCCTCTCCTGTCCCCTCCTCTAATCATCCTCCCTCCTCCGCAATTCGCATGCGCCTCCCCCGCCCAGTGCAGCGCTTCGTGGCCCCATAGGGAGCTGCACCGAAGGTCCCAGTGGCACAGTTCGCATGCGCCTCCCCCACCCAGCACAGCGCTTCGTGGCCCCATAGGGAGCTCCAGCGAAGGTGTCAGAGGCAGTGGCGCAGTTCGCATGCGTCCCCCCCGCCAAGTACAGCAATCCGTGGCCCCAGCGGGAGCTCCACCGAAGGTTCCAGTGGCGCAGCTCGCAGGCGTCTCCCCCACCCAATGCAGCGCTTCGTGGCCCCATAGGGAGCTCCACCGAACGTCCCAGTGGCGCAGTTCGCATGTGTCCCCCCCGCCAAGTACAGCAATCCGTGGCCCCAGCGGGAGCTCCACCGAAGGTTCCAGTGGCGCAGCTCGCATGCGTCTCCCCACCCAATACAGCGCTTCGTGGCCCCATAGGGAGCTCCACCTAATGTCCCAGTGGCACAGGTCGCATGCACCTCCCCCCGCCCAGTGCAGCGCTTCGTGGCCCCATAGGGAGCTCCAGCGAAGGTCCCAGTGGCGCAGCTCGCATGCGTCTCCCACACCCAGTGCAGCGCTTCGTGGCACCAGAGGGAGCTCCACCGAAGGTTCCAGTGGCGCAGTTCGCATGCGTCTCCCCCACCCAGTACAACGTTTCGCGGCCCCAGCAAGCGTCTCCCCCACCCAGTACAGCGGTTCGTGGCCCCATAGGGAGCTCCACCGAAGATCCCAGTGGCGCAGTTCGCATGCGTCCCCCCCACCCAGTACAGCGCTTCTTGGCCCATCGGGAGCTCCACGGAAGGCGATATCCACAATTGCGGTACCCACAACTTCATATTGTTGGGCTCTTCGTCAGGCTAATCATACTGTTTGTTCGGCCTCCCGCCCCTTTCTACAAACTGGAACCGCCGTCACCACAAGAAATTCGAGCTACGGCAGACAGACTTGGTTTAGTCAATCTGACAAGATTTCGGGCTTCGGGGCCCAATCACCAGCCGGCTCCAGTTAATTACCTGGGGCCCTGGCTATATCCGAAAATTCCATTGTTCTTGGATCAGTGACAGCACGCTGACTCATTGTCGCCGAGGAGGCAACGAGACAAGGAGGAGAGCGAGAGGGGCGTGAGAGAGCAAGCCGACGGGGAGAGGTAGCGCACTTTGAAGAATCCTCGGGCTCGCATCAGGCAGGGTCGGCCAGCATCTGACCGCGAAGACGGATCGGGCCAAAGCGTGCATCAGATGGGGCAGTGTCGGGATGGAGGTCCAGACCGAGTCGGGTCGGCCGCGCCAATAACGGCATGCAAGAGTGGGGCCGAATCTGGCCGTCGGGACATCGGAACCGATTCGGATCGGACAGGCCGAAATCGATTGGCGAATCTGAACGGTCGGATCGACATGGACCCCGTCAAGCACCAACCCTGCCTCGAACCCTTCCGTCGTACCCGCCGCCCCCATGCACGTCCACCACCGGCGCGTGCGCCGAGGCCCGCTCGCCTCCTAAACGGCCACCACCACGCACCAAGCTCAGCAGAAGCTCATAGCTGCATTGCCGCAGATTCGTGTCGCGACGACTTCGGCGCTGAGGTGTGCCACCATGCGGATCTTTCAGGGAGGGCGAGATCCACCGCCTCTGGCCCGAGAGCTTCTAGAAGCTTCGCGCAACCTCACCAACCCATCCAGAGACGATGCCCGGACGTGTCGCCCTGACCACGGATGCGGAGGAGCACGCAGTGGAATAAAGGGCTGGGTAAGACGCCATACCCGAAGAGGGGGAGGATGGGGGAGGAATCGTAGGAGGAGCAGGAGGAGCAGGAGGAGGAGGAGTACAATCAGGTGGCTACTGTTGATAATGAATTTTGGATAAGCATATCATATTCACGACGAACCACGGCGACGGCCGACTAATAACGACGACGAAAACATCTGGGGGGGTGAGTTGCAGTCCGTCTGGGGCGCTGGGGAGCATTCAGGCGGGGGCGCATTATGGTACATTCGGGGTTTCATTCGCGCCTCATTCGGGTTCACTCGGGTACTTTCGGCCCCCGCGGTTGGTCTCAGAACCATCGTTTCTTGCGGAATTTGGGCGTGCAACCGCCCCTGCCATATGTGTATATATATATATACATACATACATACATACATACATACATATATGTGTATATATCAAGAGACCCCGTCTCCAGGGGGGGAGAGGGGGAGAGTGGGGCCGCGTCCTCGAAGCGCTCCACCCTAGAATGGTACCAGGCCCGCGCCTTCTAGAATTTACCCTCGGCCGGTCGCGGTCGAATTTGACCTCGGCTGGTCACGGTCGGCCTTCTACATTTGACCTTCTAGAATTTTGCGACGGCGTCCGTCGTTGTCGTCGGTCGTCGTCGTCGGTCGGTCGGTCGGTCGGTCCATCCGTCGTGATTTTCGTCGTCATCGTTTGTCGCTGTTGGTCGGTCTGTCGTCGTCGTCGTCCGTCGGTCGTCGCCGTCGGTCGTCGTCGTCGTCGTCGTCGTTCTGTCGCCGTTGGTCGGACGCTCTGTCGGTCGGTCGGTGGTCGTTGCCGTCGTCGTTGTCTGTCGGTCGTCGCCGTCGGTCGACGTCGTCGTCGTCGTTCGTCGTCGTCGATCGTTTGGTCGGGCCGGCCAGTCGATCGTTCGGTCGGGTCGGCCAGTCGATCGGTCGGTCGTCGTCGATCGCTCGCTCGGTCGGTCAGGCGTCGTCGTCGTTTGTGGTCGTCGTCGTCGGTTACTGTCCCTCGGGCGCTAGATCGCTCGGTCATTTGCTCGGTCGGTCGGTCGGTCGTCGTCCAGTCGTTCGGTTCTTCGATCGCTCGGTTGGTCGATTCGTCAGGCGGTGTTAGCGGCTGTCGCATGCGTGGGCAGCTAGAGCGAGCCACGCCTCCACCACGACCGAGACAAATTATAGTCACTAGACGGACACACTTTGTCCAAAGCCTTCCGAGCAATGAATCACCTGACTGCAGGGAGACGGGGAGGGGGAGGAGAGAGGAGAGGAGAAAGCAGGGATAACCCAAGGCAGCCACTAAGAAACCCACTGGGTGATCGTTAGCACCGAGAGGAACAACCATAATTCGCGAGGGCGGATATAGTGAAGCGATATCTTTAGCACCGCACCAAGCCGCAACAAATAAATAAGTATTGCCCCCCCCCCCCCCTTGACCGCAAATACTCCTCCTGTACCTTCCTTCCGCCGAATGTATTGCCTCCTCACCGCCCCTCATTACTCCTTGTTTTCTCTTCCCCCTCGCCGCCTCTATCCTTTATAATTGCGATTACAATCCCCACTCAGAAGTTGATGTTCGTCGGCCGTCCTGGGGGGGGTCAACCCCCGACCTGCACGGGGCGTTGTCGTGTCACTGGGGAAGGCCAAACATGATAAATCCCCGTGTGCGGCTCAGCGGCGGAAGCACTAAGCAGTAGTTGTAGCAGTTAGTAGTAGATTTAGTAGTAGTAGTAGTAGTAGTAGTAGTAGTAGTAGTAGTAGTAGTAGTAGTAGTAGTAATAGTAGTAGTAGTCGTAGTAGTAGTAGTAGTAGTAGTAGTAGTTTAGTGGTGGTGGCAGTAGTGGTAGTAGTGGTAGTAGCGGGAATAATAATACTATTAGGAGTGGTAATTGTGGCAGCAATAATAGCCGTGGTCGTCGCCAGCGTCGTCGTCGAAGTACTAGTACTAGTAGCAGCAGTAGTCGTAGTAGTAGTAGTAGTAGTAGCAGCAGCAGCAGCAGCAGCAGCAGCAGTAGTAGTAGTAGAAGTAGCAGTAGCAGTAGCAGTAGCAGTAGCAGTAGCAGTAGCGTAGCAGTAGCAGTATTAGTAGGTAGTAGTTTCAGTAGTAGTAATAGTAGAAGTAGCAGTAGTAGTAGTAGTAGCAGCAGCAGCAGTAGTAGTATTAGTAGTAGTAAAAGTTAGTAGTAGTAGTAGTAGTAGTAGTAGTAGTAGTAGTAGTAGTAGTAGTAGTAGTAGTAGTAGTAGTAGTGGTAGAAGTACGAGGCAGTAATAGCAGCAGCAGCAGCAGTAGCAGTAGCAATAGCAGTAGCAGTGGCAGTAATAGTAGTAGTAGTAGTAGTAGTAGTAGTAGTAGTAGTAGCAC